AGAAAACTAAGTGGTGGCGGGGGGGGGGGGGGAGGAAGTCATTAAGATTAAGCTGATATAGCAAGAGACTTGGATTGAATAAAATAAATATCCCAGTGTGAGGTGACGGGGCTCCTCCCCTAGTATCCATTGATCACCTTTTCTGTGTGCGAGGCACAAGCTTTCAAATGAAAATCTTGCCTCTAGTGAAGGCTTGTTGCATACCTAATCTTATAGGTTAAATACAACAAAATCCATTTGAATATGTATTTTTATTTTAAAATCAAAATGTTTCTGCAAATAAGAGAGCTATTTAATTTATAAAGACTAGTTTTGGGCCTCATCATTTGGTAGGGAGGAGAAAGGGGAAAAATGCTATTCTGAGAGCATCTTTTTTTCTAAGCATAAAGCTTGGGGCTTCTGGAAAACTCTCTTATTTTTTTAATCTTTGAGCTAGCTGAGTGGGAAAAGGTAAGCTTTCAATATTCCTTTTACTCACATTCCTCTAGTGAAGATTACTCAGAGCAGCTTAAATAAAAATCAAAGAGATTTGTCACGTATTAGCTCTTAGGGAGGGCGAGTATATTTAGAAAAAAAAATATTTGAGGCTAAGCTTGCTGCATTTAAAATGCTAGTATTTGTGCATGGAAAATTACTTTCTGCAAATATTTATACCTGCCTTGGGCTCCAGTGGTCTCAATACAAGGTGAAAATAGAGCTCAGCTCATGGCCCTGCTGACCAGACCTCAGAATACCCTCAAAATGGGAACTTCAATGAGAATGTGTTCCTCATGGCATCAGCTTCAGGTACAGTTTTACCTAAGGAGAGAACTTAATAAGGGCAATGAGAAAAATCTCGCTGCATGACTGAGGGCTGGGTTTGACTCCTGCTCTTCTTTTTGCTTGCAAAATCAGGATTTTTTTTTATTTTTTTTTTTAACATGAGTCCCATGGTTGTAATATTTTAACACATTTTTTTCCTCTGTGGTCGGCAGAGTTGCATCAGCAAGAAAAAGAGACCACTGTGTTCATTGGGTATGAAACACTTCATTCTTACTTTGCCCACTGAAATAAACTCATTTCATTGTACGAAGAGCTGCAGAGGCTCCTTCACTTGTGTGTGTAGTGTTTAATCTTTTAGAAAGTAGATTGTTTATATTGGCTTTGTGGGTAAATATTCCACCCTTTACATTTGAAGAAAGTCTTATAAAATATGAGATTTTTAAAAGATATGTTTTTGCTTTCTAACACCTAGAAGGCGGCTGAAAATAGAAAATACGCTAGCTGAAGAAACTGATGGTTACTGATGACCGTATGAATGTCCCTTCTTTTTTTCCCTTTGGCTTGCCTAGTGTGAAAGCTCATTACTGAAAGTAAATCAGACCATACCCAGAGTAGCAAGCCCTTCTGAGTCACGATTTAGCAAGCTGCACTGCTAAGTGATAAATGCCGTCATATAACTGGCATGAAAGGGGTTTGACATTAAGCAAATGAAAAATCCAGAGAAAGCGTCATTTTGGTGAATCCTAACCTAGGCGAGTATTGGGGAGATTCTTTGGAAGAATACATGGGTCCTTTGGTTGGATACTTCTTATGCCGGGGAGTTGAAGGGGGCGGGGGACCCACAATCATATCTATCCTGGCAAAGTAAATAAGAAAAAAGACACCAGCAAAATGCATAATGAAGCAACATGTAGAGAAAAGTTGGTCAGAAAAGTTGCAGAAAGAAACAACTGAAAAACAGAACGACAGAGAGAGAAAGAGAGAGAAGTTGAAAATATATTCCTCTGGAAACAGGAGGCTCTGTCCTACCACCTGGTTGTTGGTGAAAGTCAGAGTCTTACCCACCCCAGGGTAAGATTTGGAGATTTAGGTACCACTGAAACATCATTAGGAGATCCCCCCACCCCAGATATAATCGGCAACATGCTTTACCCTCTGGAATGTATTTGCATATGTGTAGCAATATCCCATTGAGGTGGTTGGATACGAAACAACATATATTCATTCTCCTTTCAGTTCCAGTGCTAGATAACACATCCTCAGCTAGTTCAGAAAAGCATGAGCCATTGGAGTCGGCGAGATACGCTGTGGGATTGAATAACTCAATGAATGGGAGACATCCATGGTTGGCAGGGTGTCAGGATGAGACATGAGACAGTGTGAACACAACACTGAAAAGAGCACGTTACAGACACATCACAGTGACAGAGGCATTAATGATTAAAGAGGAAAGTGCATGTAAACATCCCAGAAATTTGCTTGAATGCAGCTTTAATTCACCAAAGCTCTGGCTATGGGAGGAGGTCACAGCCAGCCCTGCTGAGCTGAGCTGGCAGGGAGAACTCAGCGCTTTGATTGCTGAAGGAAAGGGAAAGAAAAATATCTGTTCTCCTCTGAGCTGCCCTGTGACAACCTCCCTGGGCTCCACCGTACGGGCGCACTCTACTTCTAGCGCCAGCTGGTCATGGCCCAACATTGGTCATGGCCACCCCAGACACACACCTTGTCTACGGGGTGCCCCTTCCAGTTGTACTGAGCAGGTGACCAGCCATGGGACCTCTTGGTGCCCATCTGGCTATGATGATGTGCTTCAAAGGATGGCCCCAAGGCGGTCTGCTGTTGTCGCCATCACTGATCTCCTGCTCGGTGGGGACAGTGAAATCAGTGAAGCTGCCTGATAGCCCTGGATCCCAAATCCAGGTACTTCACAGCAGCTCCTGGTCCTCCTGACTTCCCTGCAATGGGGAGGATGGCAGCCCAAGCCTAGTCCAGCCTCAGCAACTTCAGCCTTGCAGTCCCACAGGTACAGCTAAGAGGTGAATTCAGTTTGGTCTTTGATAGCTGCAATTCCTTACCCCAGCCACCCCAGAAAACATTCCTGGGGTTCATATTAACTGTTTGCATACTCAAGTACATTTTTACGCACATTTTCTGACTGTACCAGGCACCTAGATGGGTTTCAAATGAAAGCAAAACTTCTGAAAAGGCTTCTAGAAGAAGCTGGGCTACCACAGCCATCAAGGGAAATACTTTCATTCACAAAGTGTAAAAGTAAATGGTATATTATTTTGACTGGAGATAGCCCATGGACAAGCCCTGCCTCCATTCTGGGTGTCCTTCGAGCTCAGCAGAACTGAGCCTACTTCTGCTGAAACAACACAGCTGGGGGGTGTTGGGGGTTTGGGGTCTCATTTTCAAGGTGGGACATCAGGGCTAAGGGAGGAATAGTCAGACAGAAAGGTTCAGCTCAGATCCTGTGTTCAGGGGACCAAATTAATCTGGGGTTTTTTGCAGGAGAAATAATTGAGTGATAGTATCGGAAAATGAAATTTTAAATGCCCTTCTTGGTTCAGTTTGTCCCTTTTTCACATTTCTTCTCCTATTAAAACTAACTCATCTCCCCCTAAAATTTGAGCAGAGGCTGAAATGCAGCTCAGCTAAACCACACCTACATCAGTGGGCTCAGATGGGAAATCCCCATCTGCACGTATTTTCAGCAGACTGTGCCATCCAAGGAGGGATTCCTCCTAAAAGAGCTTAGCATCCCAACAGCTGGAGGAAGCCGCTGCCCATAGCAGCAGGGTCACAACCAGCACCCCAGATTTCATTTTGTATCACTCCCAGAAAGGTACCAAATTAGCCAGATTAGCCTTCAGACTGGGGCACCAAACCTTTGCTATCCTGCCAGGAGGACCAGAGATAAGCACCTGTGTTACCTATGGGATATACTATAATGACAGAAAATCTTAAAGTAAAGCCTGGAGGAGGATGAGCTGTGTTTCGTGTATGTATGTCCTGGGGTGGGCAGTAAGGCAGTTTTAGTGGCATAACATCATTGTTTGCAGTCCCTGTCCTGCTCATCCCTGTGCGTTCCAGCCACAAACACCGATGTTTTCCTTGAGGTTTTCTCTTAGGAAGAAAAAGACTAAGTTGTAGCTGAAAAGGAAAGTGTCTCTCTCCTGGCAGTACCCCCATGCTGAACAAAAAACAGTGAAAAAAAATGAAGCAAAGAGATGGGTCGCTTGCCTGGCCTGAAGGTTTTTAATCCGGGAGAGCATGTCCAGGTGACCAGCTGAATACTGCTCGATGACATCCATCACATCGTAGGGCCGAAGGCTCTCCTTAAACTTGCGCTTGGAGACGAGAAATCTCATAATGCTGCAGGAGATGGAAAGGAAAGGGAAAAAATAGTTTCTGGGCTGCAGCCTGACCTGCTTAATAGCAGATAAAAAAACATTGCAGGGAGCTGCTTTGGAAGGAAAATGGAATAAATCCCAACGCTGTGGGGTTGGGAGAGGATGCAGCAATAGGAGAGGGGAAGGGGATTGCAGGGCTCGTGGCTGAAGCCCTGTCTGCGACGGGGGGTCCCTGATGCCCCTTGGACTATCAGCTGTGCAAGTGTCCTCTCTGCACTGCTTTTGCAAATGTCAGCATTAAATCTCAAAGCTGGTGAGAATGATCATTTGGATGCATCCCTGCAGGGGATTTTCCTGTTTCTCCATTTATTCCTTCCCTCAGCAAAAATTGCCCTTTCTGGCAGAATTTTCTGTAAAGGAGGGCAGGCCACCCAGGGGAAAAACAGCCTGCAGCACAGACATTTCAGCATTTGCCACCTCTGCTTGGACTTTAAAATTCTTTTTTTTTTTCCTATTATTTATTTTTCTGGACCGCTTTGCCCTTCTTCCTCTCTTACCACACTGCCCTGATGCTGACTTTCAGTCCTGGCGTCAAATCTTCTGTCACAAACTCACAGTTGCAGCTTTTGTTCTCATCGGGAATGTCTTCTCCAGGAAGGCTTGCTTCTGGGTTTGGGAGAGGGAGGAATAAAGACAACGTGTTACTATTTCCTGTGCTGTTGCCACGCAAAGAAAGACGAGTCAGATCGCAAACAGCAACCCCGGGGGAAGCACCAGAGATGTCTTTGCTGAGCATCCAAATGAGAGCATTTCCCAAGATGCGTTAAGGTGACATCCAGCGATGCCAACTGCAGCTCTCATCTCTAGATGCCTGACTCCTCCTCCTTTCCCCATCCCTATATACATAAATACATGTGTTATCGTGGGTGTCAGCAGAGGTTTTCTTATCTCTTATTATACTCCAAGCTAAAGGACTGGAAAGGTAAGAAGACCTACTTAAGCAGCCTGGCTTGCAGCTCTGCCCTTCTTAGGTGGGGAGGGAGAGGATGTTGGGGTTGCATGGGGTTTTGAGGTCACACCTGGTGCCCCAAACTCTCACCTTCTGAGTTTTGCCGTGACGCCGCTCCCTTGATGCGGAAAGCTTGCCGGGCTCGGCTGCGGTCTCCAAAGCTCCAGCTCTTGGGCACTTTGCTTGGGCTGTCCTCGATGCTCTGGTCAGCGCTGGGGGACCTCCGGATGCCCTGAGCCTGTGGAGAGCCTTTCCCTTTGGTGCCAGCACCGCGGGGACTGGAGAAGACACGATCTTTCAAACTGACCTTCTGACTGTTCAGAGAAACACGTTGAAACAAAGACAAAAAGGAGACAGCAGGAGGAGTCATTCTGGAAACCACGCAGTCCTTCCCCACCAGCCATTAGAAACCAAGAGCACTTCCAAGCAGCAGTGAGATGTAGATTTGCTGTTGGCTTTTTTTTTTTTTAAATATGTATTTGTTTTCTTTCTTCTTTTTTTTTTTTTTTAAAAGAAAGCATTGTAGAAATGTTTCCACCATGAGTGAAATGAAAATGATTATTAAGAGAGAGAAAATAATGAGGACTTAAACAGAAGCCCCTCGTGGGATGCCAGGGCTGGCGGGACAGAATGACGTTAAACAATGAGGTTATGATTCCTTAAATCACTGATCGGCTCCGATCACGAGTGAGGAAGCTTTTCTTTCACAACTGCCTTCCAAAAACCTATATCTAATAAGAAAATACCATTAAAAAAAGCCTTTATCTTAAACTTTTAACTTTCTTGGAAACCCTTCACTTCTGGTGCTCAGACTTGTCCTTTCCCTTTCTTCAGCTCCTCTATTTCCTCCCTTTTAAAACATGATCTGCCCCTTTTATATATTCCAAAGAGTTCCTCTTTTTCCAGCCATATATTTAAATACTTAAATATGAACACTTACACGTGCAACTCCTTTGTATCCTATAAAATTCAATCTCAAAGCTAGCTAACATATATCTGCAGGTCTCTATGGGTATCATAAACGTGTAAAGCAAAATTTTACAACTTCAGAATATGGCATTTCACTGCAGTTTTTCTATTAGAATATCATTTCTTTAAAACCTTGTAATTACAGTTTGAAAGTAAAATCTCTCCAGAAACAGAGATGATCTCACTGAGAAATAGGCTGCTGACCCAGCTCTAATTATTTTCCAAATTCCAAAATTTGTAATTAAAAACTTTCACCCAAATGAAGATGATGAATTTTCACATGAAAATTGCAAAACAAAAAAGATTTTGTGAATCTTTGATAGAGCAAACTTTTTAGAGACAGCATTGGGGAAGCAAAACTGCAAATAGTTTTGGATAATTTGATATTTTCTGAATAGTAAGTGATTATTGAAATACAATTTTAGAGGTTAGACAACCAGTGCAAGGTACTTCCACAGGTAGCTAATATTTTATATATAAGCAAAGCAAAACTGAGTAAAACCACAGATGTAATTCCCAATACCCTGTACCACTGCAGTAGCAACTTATTTTTTTGCTGCAAATGCTCTGATTCAATTTGCGGGAAGAACATTGCAGGAATTTTCATTTCCACATCAGATTTCCAGGTCACCAACCAAAGACCTGGGTTTTTTCTGTCTCTCGGCAATGCCACCTTAAAACTCAGAGCCAAACAGTCCTCCTTTGCCTTCAAAACTGGCACGAGGTTCTTCAAACAGAACTTAGCTGCTAATATTTGAAGCGAAGCAAAATGCAGCTCCCTTTTCCCCAGCCATATCAGCTGTACTGTGCTGACGGGAGCAGACATTCATTTTTGTCAGTAAAGGAAGAAGACGTGACTCAAAGACACACAGGGAGCAGATCTGTTGAGTAAGAAGGTGCTATTTTTACAAAGTCACTTTACATTGCGAGATGTTGAACGTTTACAGGGAGAGAAAGGTGCTTAGGCAGCATTTTCCAGAGTCGCACAGCGTGATCCCAGGGAGGCATCGCTGCCCTGATGCAATGCCCGGGGAACGGGGAGAACATCTCCTGGGCTGCAGGGCAGGGTTATCTGTGGCCATTGGCTGGGCAACAATTTCACATTGAGAGATACATTTGAGAGAAAAATAAAATTTGTTCATAACCAAGTTAGAAAAGGCAGCATGAATCCAATTAATGACGCATTTTTAATTCAGGTAAGTACTGGAGATTTCATGTCCAGTGCGCTGTTCACGTGCAGGGTCTGTCTGAAAGCCACGGGACCAACAGATGTTCAGCGCAGCTGAAAATCAGATCAGAAGTACAAATCCACACAGGAATCTAGGAACAAGCATGTGCCTAAACACCTTTCTGGATGTAAGCCCTAGTCACTAATGCTACCAAAATCATCATACATAATGAGCCAAATGTTTAAAAGCAATTGTCATTCCGTGTTTCTTGGATTAGAAACCAGATTGACATTTTATTTGCCATTTGATCCTAAATAGGCCAATTGGATTTTTCTTTCTTATTTTAGTTGATTTTACAGAAGAATATTCCTGGAATCTACGGTACTAATACTTTGAACTACCTGGTCTTTTTTAAAACTAAGTTTTATAGAACTGAATCAACAACACACCGATGTTCAGAATTCAAAGCAATCTCTTTGTGCCTCATCCTCTGCTGAGTTGCTCCCATCACCGATCTCAGCGTAAAACCCGTTGCCTATCACTGAGCAAAGCAGGGCCTTTTCTTTGGGGTCCCTTTTGCATTCCCACAATAAGTGCACTGCAAATGTTTGCAAGAATCACAAAAGGCAATAAAGAAAGCGTTGAACTCAGTGAGGAATATGAGTGAAGAGTTTCAAGCCTGATAGCATGAGGTGCAACACTTTCAGACATTAAAAAAATCTTGTAGAAATTTGATGAACAATTAAGATCTGGGTGGGTTTTGTTCCTGAGTACTTGCTACTCAGAAAAAAACCCAACACCTGATGTAACTTCTTTGTTTTCACATAGACGACAAGAGACAACATGAACAATTAATCGCATTTTTCCTTCTGCCATGCAATTCTCTCATTGGAAATGACACCTGGAATCACATGCAAGTACAATCCCTGCAGAGGAGAATACTGTTGGGGTCTGCAGGAGCTGGTAGGAAAGAGTCCAAAAGAAATACAGACATATATAGAGATATATGTTGTCAGCTAATCCAAGATCATGTTCTCATTCAACCAGAAAGTCATGCAGAGTGACGCAGAGTGTCTCGGAGAAATGGTATTTAGATGTCACTCAAGTAGACGGTAAATGAGCCTCAGTTCAGTGGAAAGCGTATGTGTTGGTGACATGAACATGAGGAAAGCCGTAACCCAGACACAGACAACAACATGAACTGAAGCTTGCAATCACGATAGCTAAGAGCAGCATGAGCACGGGGCAGGTGCCCTGCTCGTGCCAGGGGGAAGGGAAAGAAAAATGTGGCTTTGTAACCAGAGACAAAGATTATGGGAAGCCATAACAGCGTGATAGGGCGTGCTTTAGTTCCTAGGTCTTCATAATCACTTTCAGTTGGCATCTATTGAAAACATATTCGATAAGAAAAAATTATAATGTTTCCAGGCTGACTTTGGGAAGGTTTACAAAACATTCAGCTTTTAACTTGAATTTAACAAAGGATAGAAACTAAGTTGATTTCTCTGCTGCCAGTCAAAAAACCGAGAGTCCATGCTGGACGAACACATAAAGACTGATCCATGGTCACACAGTTGATAGAGAGATGCTCACTGCATTAGTGGGCTTTGCCTTTAGATTCATTTAGGTCCAACAGCCCAGTACTCAGCAGCACATCTCTGAACTAACCTTCAAATGAGCTGCCATCAGCCTCTTTAGGATGCTGGGGGTTTGAACTTCCATTTGAAACGCTCTGGTTTGGGGTTCATCCCACAGCCCTCCATAGTATTAAATCAGCACTTTTAAAAAATGCGGACTCATTACATTAGCAGTAATTTTTGATCGATAAACAGTATCACCTGTAACTTCTTGTCATTGATTTTAAACTATGCTTGAGCAATGGTTTCATTTTCTCCCTTCGTTTTGTAGGCAGCAAACATTAGCCAAACCAAGTTAGACTAACATGGACTCAGATCCATCTCTGCATACCAACTCCACCAGTAACAGTGTTCATTCTTCTGCAAAGCTAGGTCCAGGAGGAATGGGCTATCTCCTGCTGGGAAGTGAGGCTGTTTTTTAATCTAGAGTTTGTGCTGAGCTCATGGCATATGAAAACAGCTTGTTAAAACCAGGCAAGAGTGCCAGGAGTGAATGATCACCTTTGTGGCTATCACTGGGCTCCAGACTGGTCATAGATGTGACCAAGAGGCAGAAACCAATTACTGGAGACATGAAGGAAAGGAAAACACATCCGTGTGTGCAACACTTGCCATGATTAGAGCAGAAACCAACAGAGGACCAGGCTCAAGCCTGGTTTGCCCCCCGGTGATTTCAGAAAAGCCATTGCAAAGGTGAATTCAGCCCAGAGAATGGAGTTTCTAGAAGCAGAGCAACCTGGGCATAAGGAAAACGAAAGGTGAGCCAATGATCAATGTCATGGTGAGTAATCCCTCTCCTCTTCCTTGTCCACAACCACGGTGTTAGACTTGCATTGAACAGAGTCACTGAAATCATAACGGGGAAGACCAGAGTTGCACCATCCTCGCAGCCACCACATAAACCTGGCTGAGCATGGGGCCTCGGGTGAGTGAAGGGACCCTGGAGCCAGACACATGTCTTTAACCTTGGCCTTTGGTATTTTGCATCATTGCTGACATACTGTCACCCCTCTCTTCCTAACATACAGCCTTTTTTTCCCAAACTGATGTTGAGCGCTGTCAAAACACCACACCACACCACACGTATCCTGCATCTTCCAACAACCTCTTCCTATTTGCCAGTTCAGCTGTTTTGCATTTCAGGAGCAAAGCAAAATGCTAGATTGCATCTTCAAGCTGGCTGATTATTCCTAAATAAACTTTAAGAAATATTCTACACCCAGACCCTCAGGCCAGTCAAGGGCTCTGCAAACACTTTTCCTTCACTGGTCTGTGTGCCATCTCTTCCCACTGTCAGGTCTCTGTGGTGCCTTCATATCTCTGAGTAGATGCCAGGAAAATCTCTTACAAAGCAGAATATGAGAGACCTGATAATCTGGCTTGGTATAGTTACATTACTGTCTAAAAATGTGTGCATTATTGCATTTATTGACTAGAGATCATTGGTTAGTACATTAAGAAACCACGGCTTCTAAGGAGTTTTCTATTAATTTGCCTACATTGAGTTTCCCATGATTGCCTCATCGTTTTCTGCTATTTTGTTATATGCATCCTAGATGAAGGTTTTTAGCGCTCAGCTTTAGATGCATCAAAGTGCTGGCATCTGCCCCTAAGAGTTTGTGCAGTGGGGGACTGCAGGCAGGCAGCCCAAGGGTCCAGGAAAACAAGACATTTGAATTATTTTTATGTCCCTTCAAGGTTAACCTATAATTTTACTAAAGCACGGCACGTAAAACACTACATTCAGGATGAATGCAGGTAACAAAGATGCTCTTGTAGCTACTCCAAAGTTCAAGATTCCTTTTTGACTGGAAGAACCACAGTCTGTAACCCTCCTTCTCAGGGTCTCCAATAGATTAAGAAGATCTTGAGATAATAATTTGTTTCATTCTCCCTTTCCCTTGCAGAACTCAAGATGGGGGACATGAAATGAGGACCACAGTGGGAAGGAAGTAGAAAATAGAAAAAAAATTATACTGGCTTTACCAATTAAAAAATCATTCCTAAGAAGACATGCAAGGAAGACATTAAGATCAGAGTGGCTGATTTTCCAGAAAACAGAACTGGACATGGACAGGTGGGAGGACAGCATTACAAATATCACTGCTTGTTTTCATCACTGCCAAAACCAAGGCACCTTCCTCTGGGGAGGAGTCCCTGCTTGCACTACGCCTCTGCCTCCAAGAATAAAATAGCCTCACCTGGCAAATAGAAACACTACAGAAGTCATGATAATTTTTTCAGCTAAACTATAGACCAAATCTTTTCCATTTGGAAATGTATTGAAATGCTATCTGTGCAACTGATGATCGCCCAATATTTAAACCAGTCCTTTCAAGGATAAACTTCAAGGAAGACCACAGTACCATCAAAACACATATCAGGAGGCTAATTCAAAGATTCAGGCTATTTATCCAGGTACAGGGGATTTCCTACCATGGAGAACTGCTTATTACAAAATCTAGACCATGCCCCCTTCCTCTTAGTTACCCATTCAGAGATGGGATTTACCACACTGCTTCTGAGCTTCTGATACACGCAACTCTCAGGCATGAGTCCTGGCCTCTAGACTGACAGATAATAAAAATAGCCAGCAGGGAAAAAAAATAGCAAGAAAAGAAAAGATACAAGTTGGAACAATTAATGGAGAAAATCAGAGATACATATACTTTTAAAACTGTAGTTTGTTGGCTTTCTGAGGGAGACAGAGACTGGTGATTTTAAGAATTAAAACGGACTCCAAAAAAGAGCATGCAAAAATCCGATTTCACAAACATGCGGCATCACTCAGTGCCCTGCCACTCCTGGGCGTTCCACCTGCCTGGCTGCGGGGGGAAGAGCTGATGGGATTCACCTACCAGCATTCACAGCATGCAAACTCTGGGCATTGGTAATTCAAGAAGGTGCACGTTTGCTGCTGAGAAGCAGTGTCTGGGGCGAGGGAAGAGACTCTTCCAGTGCAAGTGTGGAAGTAGACATATTTATGCATAAGTAAATTAAGATATATGTATCTGTGTACCCTTACGGTCATTAGATGGGTGCATTAAGGGATGCTCATTGGGAATTCTCTGAAGCCGCCTAACAACTGTCAACTTGATGAAAGAGATGAAAACACTGCTCGTACAAAGCCCTCTGCTCTAGCTATCTGTTCCCCACAGGATCTAGAAACAGACCCATTCACAATGCCAATGTCAACGCTAAGGGGAACCCGTATCCCCTACATCTGGTGGGACAGGCTGAGATTAGTCCTTCTCTAGCTGCGTAGTAGAGGTGCTAGATAGGCAAGCCATGGCTTCCAAAGGCCACAAGACTAGGAAAGCTCAATTTGTAGTGTTCAGAGAGCCAAAGGAACAGTGATTGAGCAGAGGTACGAAGCTGGTATTTCTCATGCTACTAACTTGACATTGCTGTACAGTGCAATTCAATTTGCAAGGATTCCCTGGACCTTGAGGAGGGATGGAGCAATAGGGAGGAAGGAGTCTTTTTTTAAAAAAAATAATTTTTAATTTTTTTTCCCCCCCCATCATTTCTTAAACTTCCGTTCCTGGCCTCCTTCATTGCTGAGCAGACACTGGCCTGCTAGATCAGACCAAATTCCCCATCCTCGTCTCTTTGATTCACATGTTCTGCATGATTAGCAGACAAGGAAGCCTCTAATTTCTGAGCGGGCAATGGGGAGGCTCTTTCACCTTTTTTTACTCATCTAGTACCTCTATTAAGCAGAGTAGTGATCAGAACGGGTGGTAGCAGGGTAGAGGGAGAATGAGCCGTGCAGCTTTTGATTAGTTCCGTGCGACGCATTTCCCGTGGTACCTAGAGTTTCCTGAGCAGCATCCGCATAGTGACTCTCTGCACGGTTTGCTTTTACTGGAAATGAGGGGAGAGTAAAAATTAGACCTGGAAGCAAATGCCAGACAGGAAACTTTTGATTACTGACTCTAAGTTTAAAAGACAGGTGTTTTGAGGGCCGGGTTCATGACAGGATTTTTCTGTTTGAGCGTTAAATGGAAAAAAATAAAAAAAATCAAGAGGGTTTCTGAAATTTGTCTCACTGTGGTCAATAAACGTTATTATTAGAAATGATGCATTCTGCATTGAATTGGTGGCATCAGTTTATCTACAATTGATTGAGTCCTGCAGGAAGATTTTTTCATCTGCTTTGGAAACAAAAAAGTACTCTTTTCTTCCTCTAAACAGATAAAAAAGACATTTTTTTAATTGTCTAAGCCACGGAGAGCAGAACTTTAACTTGCTTTGTCCAACAACAACATCCAAAAGGTTCAAATTTCTTTTTTTTTTTTTCCAAAAAAAAAAAAATCACAAAGAGAGCTAGTTAATCTGTGAATTATTTGCACTTCTTACATAGGAAATAGCATTATATTAAGCCTGGCATTAGAAAAAAAAAAAAAAAAAAGATAAAAACCAGGGTGTGGTGCAGTCCCTTATAGGAAGGGACTTGAATCTCTGTGTTCACACATCTGTTTTTCGTAACACTTTTTAGACGGGCCCTACCACTTCTGGGGAGTTACTGGCTTTGCTGAGGCACCACCACAGCTCCCAGGAGCTCATCCCAAATCGCTGCTCAGGCACTGCCCTGCCAGGAGATTGCCACCACCACTGGGGTTCTCCACGCCATGGAGCAGCCCTCTACCTGTGGAAGGGTAATGATGGCCCCCATCATCCCACCTGGCCACCAGCGGGTATCACTTGCTGAGTTCATGGACAGACTGAAAAAGCTGAAGGGCATAAAATCCCAATCTTGTTTTACACTTGAACTCGGCAATTGGAGGAGCTCACGGGCATACACAGAAGGAATTTGCAGGAATTCCTTCTGCTTCGCGGCATCCCATGCAAGCTCAGCCAACACCACCTTCTCCATCCTGGGGACTCCTCAGGTGCCCACAATGGGACCCCACATCCCCAGGGAGCCCCGGGGACCAGTGGTGCTACCGGGGCTGTTCTGGAGCTGGGGTCTGAGCATTGCGGTGTGGGAGTGGGATATTCAGCATGCAGAGCCTCAGGGAGACACATGGGTTACACTCCTCTTCGTCTCTCTGCAGTCCCTACAGAAAGATGCAGTCCCTTCTGTGCAAATAATCCGCTCCCCTAAAGGCAACCGATTATTTCCAGATTACTGTCAGTCCCAGCATGAGTCTCTGACACCAGTTTAATCGGTTAGAAAGTCAAATGCCAACCTCGGACACCCTGGGCTGGATGAGCAGGGGCCCACTGAGTCAACCAAAGGCATCCTCCAGTGCGTACAAAAGCCTTAATCACACCCCTGAACAGAGATATTAACGTTGTGTGTATCTCAGACAGACATATACATACATTGATATATAGATAGATATACGCACAGATATACATACACATTACAAGGTGGCCCAGTCCAGCATTCACTCAATATAATGGCCAAGGTCTTGCTGAGTTCATTAGGGTCAAGGACAAACCACAGCTGAGCACAACCTTGCGAAGAGGTTCCTCTCATCACCTACAAGACTGAACTCATGCTGGACAAAGTAATCTGAGTTTTAGCTTCCCAGTTCCCCGGAATGCTTCTGTTTCTTTTTCTCTGATATTCATGTATTATTATGATCACTCGGTTCATTAATTTTCAGCTTTTCACCCAATTATATTTTGGAAAATACAAGAGGAAGAAATGTGGTCATGGATGCCTTCAGATGTTTCTCAAACCATCTGTTAAAGAACATCTGAAGCACACATTCCATATAAAAGCCTCCATAGTCCTGGCTAACCATATGTTTGTCTTTTTGACATTACAATCAGAAGACAAAACAAACAGAGACAAGATGCCACAGCGAATTTCCAGCCTGGTTAACATAGGAGTAATCAAACCCCGTTACCACTCTGATTTGCTTGCTTTCTGCAGCAGGAGGGGTGAGAAAAGCCCCACCACAGAGCAGCCCTCCTTCCCTGGCGTTACGAGGCAGAGAGGACTCATATTTGGACCCTGAGTGAGAGCAGCGTGGTCTCGGGGGCGTGATCGGCGCTAACTGCTCCTGCAGCAGCAGCCAGCCCGGGGAAGAGCAGGTGGCCACTTCTCCTGGCCAAGGTAGATGGTAAGGTGGGCAACAGAGGAGGCTCTGTAAGCAGTTTTTTTAAAAAGGGAGGAAAATAAAAAGGGGAAAGAGGTATGTAGCATGTAGAAAAAAGCTAGCATCTTTTCTGCTCATCACAGCCTGGGCTCCACGTCACAGGGAGGCGAGGTCCTTGTCCCCCCAAGCCGGTCAGCACATAGCTTTCCTGGCACACGGTCATAGATGGATGCAGACAAGCTCGCAGTGGGAAAACAGAAATGATAAAGGACATAACCTGTCTCTCAGATCGGCTGTCCCATTTCATGCCAAGACCAAATCAAAAGCTACCGGAGTGATTCCAGTGACCCCAAGTCTCCGTCACGCTAACCCCATCACCTCCCCATGTCCTCCCACCCCCAGCAGCAGCTCTCCGAGTGCTGTCTCAGCAGAAATCGGTACGGCGACAGCAGCACCGGAGTCAGAGGGCAGCACTGCCGCCGGTGCATGGGCAAGACCCCGACAGCTGCCCCACACACTGGCAAGGCATTTGGGATGCTCCCTGACCTTGCAAGGCGATGTTTGTCTTGCACAGCACGTTCCCATGAGCCATGCCAGCTTCCCGTCGCTAACTTAAAAAATATGAAGATGCAAAATAGTGAAAAAGCTGTTTCTGCTGTTTGCTGTAAGGACTTTGTGGTGTATCAGTTATGGAAAGAGGGATATAGGAAATCAGCCACTCCCTATGCATAACTACAACGGGAGGAAGATCCAGCTATCTCAAGATGAGAGACTATGTTTCCTTACATCGATGGAAATGGAAAGTGACAAATCCTTTACCAGCTGAAGCAGTAAAAGTGTGGTGCTGGGGTCTGCTATGAGAGACAATTCATCCTGAGGAGTTTCCTAAGGAAAGAGTCATCAGCGACAGACCACGTCTGGATGATTAACTGTCGGGTGGGCTGAGAAACAGGATGAGTTCTCTCTTCTAAGGGCAGCATGACACACTGAGCATCGCTGGGAGGCTGTTGGAAATTAAAGTGGGTGGCAGATTTGGGATGTGAATGTAAAAGATCCAGAAACTTTTATTTGGAAAAATAGGTGATTTGGGGCCCCCTGAATATAGGGACTAGTGTGCAAAATTCCTTCCTGAGGTCTGAGACATTATCAAATGGAAAAGGGCAGGGGAAGCAGGTAGAATTGACATTGCCCTAACAAAACGCAGAAGGAAAGAGCTTTGGTTCTGCTATGGCAGCTGAACAAAACAATATGGGAAGTACTCGAATGCCACATACACGGCA